GATGGAGGTGCGTCTTTCCCATGCTCGCGCGCCCCCCGCGCGCGAACTATGCATGGGCCCGGCTCGCCCGCTTGGGGATCCACCCGGCACACCCCCGCCCCCCACCTGCCGGCTTACCTGCCGTCAGTTCGCGCGGGATCGCCCACAACTGTCAGCAACTGAAATCCAGTTGCTTCAGCTGTGACTTCAGCCTCGCCTCACCGCTCTCCCTTCGGTCGCACGCCTCCGGAGAGAGGTCGCACACGACGCTGGTGACCATTCCCGACGAGCCATGCGCAGGTCGCGACCCCTGAGGACCTCCACACCTCCAAGGAGAAGCTCCGCGGCATCGGCGAGGCGACCGCTCTCTTTTCAGAACCTGCTAGGGCAGAGGCCCTGTCCACCCTGGCGTCCCTCGAGGGGTCGCCAGGGCCCGCCGCGGCCCTGGCGAGGCCCGTGGGCGGCCTGCTCCTCATCGACGCCTACGCCCTCGTCGGCCTGGCCGGCAAATATGCCAGCGGCGGGGGCGGCGCCGGCGATGCGGGTCTCATCTTTACCAGGTGGGTCGAGGCGATGGCCGGGCACGAGTCGCTCGCGCCGACGCGGGCGCTCCCGGCGCTGGCCACGCCGGAGACCAAGGCGAACTTCGTGAAGTACAAGCGCCGGATGACCGCGTACAAGGCGGACGTGGAGCGCGCGCTTAAGCGGCGCTCGACGGCCGTTTCTCGCCGGAAGGACCCGGCGGAGGCCGACCGCGAACTCGACCAACTCGTGCGGCAGGCGCACGTTCCTCTCCAGACCCTTTCGGACGCGGCCGACACGGGCGGCGGCGGCGGCGGCGGCGGCGGCGGCGCGTCCTCGCTCGATGCCGAGCTCGACGTGACGGCGCAGCTGCGCGCGTTTGCCGAGGGTTTGCACCCGCGCCTCGGCGCCGACAGCGCCGTCCACCTCTTGGAGGGCTGCCGCGACGTCCTCGGCTTGATCGCCGCCGAGGTGCGCGGCGCGCCTCCGCCGCGTGGGCGCGGCACGTCGCAGCTCCGGCAGGTGTCGCTGCTCCTCAACTATGAGCGGCGGCGGCGGCAGCTGAGCGAGGCGCTCGCCGACGAGCGGCGTGTCGAGCTCGAGCTGGCGGCGCGCCGCCAGCAGGCCGCCGTCGACGCCGCGCTCGCCGACGAGCGGCGGCGCTCCGCCGCGGCGTACGCGAAGCTCGACGCAGCGCTGCAGGCGGAGCGGCAGGAGACTGGGCGGCTCTGCACGGAGGTGCGGCGGCTCAAGGCGGCGGCGCGCGAGGCCGAGACTGCGGCGGAGCTGCGGTGCCGCAGCCAGGAGAAGGAGGCCGCGGCGCACTTTGGCTCCATCGCCTCAGAGGCCGAGCGGCGCGCCAAGGTCGCCGAGGCGCAGCGGGACGACGCGTGTGAGGAGGCGGCGCAGCTGCACGGCCTCTTCGCGCAGCTAGAGGACCAGCTCGACGCGCTGCGCTCGATGCGCGTCTCGGGGCTGCTCGAGCAGCTGCAGGCGAGCACGCGGCGCATCACCGAGCTCAGTGCGCGGCGCAAGGTGACGCAGCGCAAGCTCTCCGACGTGAACCTCGTCGAGCGCAACCTGGCGGTGTCGCAGCGGCTGCTCTCGGAGGAGCGGGCGGCCCGCGCGAGCTTGTGGCGCGGAGACGCGACGGCAGAGAAGCTGGAGGCGGTGGAGGCGCAGTGCGCCAAGCTGCAGGCCGAGCTTGAGGCGGCGCAGGCCGAGGCCGCAAAGTTCAAGGCCATCGCCGAGCCCACCAAGGCGCGCTTCAAGCTGGGCAACCACTTCAACGCCGAGACGGAGCTTGCGTGCATCTCGGTGATGCACCTCGGCATCGCGCGGCAGAAGATCCCGAAGCTGTTCCCGATCTTCGCGCGGCTCTTGGGGGTCAAGCTGCCGTACCGCGAGATCAAGGTCCCCGGCCCGATCGTGGACGGCAAGCGCACCTCCGTCGTCAAGCGGCTGCCAGAGACGCCGCAGGCGACGCACTGCAAGGAGCTGGCGGGCGTCTCCTACGAGCTCAACAAGCTCCAGGTCGGCCAGTGGCTGCTGGAGTTCATGAACTCGGATGAGTCCTCGTGCTGCTACATCGCCGACGGCGCCGAGGCGCAGCAGATGGAGCGCATCGGCACCGTCCTCTCGCGGCGCGTCAACGGCAAACTCGAGCTGCGCGCCCTCGATTTGTCGACGGCCTCGAGCAAGACCGCCGAGGCGCAGGCGTCGGCGTACCACGAGTCGATCGAGGAGGTCATCAAGCTCATGGAGGAGGCCGGCCTCGCGGATGCGCGCGCGGCGGAGCTGCTGCGCCGCTTCCTCCCCACGTGCGCGTGCAACGACCGGGCGTCTACGGCGCGGCTCGCTGCGCGGCTGGTCCTCGGGCTGGGCGAGGGCGACGACGACCCGACCTGTGCGGAGCACGCGCTCGTCAACATCCTCGAGGAGGGGCGCAAGGCGATGGACGCCATCCTGCGCGAGCTGATGAACTTCACCGACGAGCAGGCCGCGGCGCACGCCGACAAGATCAAGGCGATGCGGACCTGCGTCGGCTGGTTCAGCTCGCCTGTCTGCGCGCTCATCTACCAGGCACCGTCAGCCCCGACCCCGCACCGCAGATCACTCCCACTCGCGCGCCAATCCCGCACCCCCCCGCGCCGCACGCGTAGGTGAGCAAGTACGTCGCGCTCTGCTCGACCAAGGGCTACGCCATCGGCCGCAAGCTGCAGGAGTGGATGGAGGCGCGGCTGGCAGACCTCGAGGAGCAGCTCGAGCATCTCGTGGGGCACGTGGAGGACGTGCTCGCGATCTGCGGCTCGCGCGCGTACGTCTTCTACCTCGACGCGGCGCCGACGGAGCGGCTGCTCACTGAGCACGACATCTCCATGCTGACCTACCTCGACGAGGATGAGATGCTCAAGGCTGCCGGCGGCGGCAAGCTGCGCAAGTCTATCCTCACCGGCGCGCGCTCGCCGCCCTGCATGGCGGGGGTGCGCGCCATGGCGCTGATCTGCGACGCGGTGTTTTGGCCGCTGATCCGCGCGGTCAAGCCAGCCGCGGACAAGCACGTCCTCGACGTGCTCCCGCGCGTGTGGCCGGCGGCGCACGCGTTTTTTGAGGCGGCCGCCGCGTCGCCCGCGGGCATCGTCGACGGCTCGCTCAAGCTGCAGCTCGGCGACGTTTCGGCGGCCGCCACCGCCGCTACCGCGCCAACTCCAACGCAGGCGCGCCGCGCCGAGCGCCATCGCCTCGATATGGTGCGCATTCGCGCCGCAGCGGCCGACGACCCGATGGTGACGCGCTTGCTGACGGCGGCATTCGGCGCGATGTCCCGGGCGGTCTGCAACCACGCTGCGGAGTGGATGCCGGCGGGCCTCGTCGCCACGAACGGCTCGATCACCAAGACCGGCAAGCTGTGCTCGGCGAACATCACCCCGGCGCTGCGCGCAAAGTACGACGCGCTGCAGGCGACGAGCACGCCGGTTGAGCGGCTGCACGCCGTCGGCCGCGTCAGCGACGACCGGCACAAGCGGCAGCGCAATGAGTCGCGCGCCGGCGACTCGCTCGGGCGCTTTAACAACCAAGCCGGCTGGCTGACGGGCGAGATCGATGAGCGCGGCGGGCTCAAGGTCGCCGAGACCATGCTTGCGGCGTGCCGAAAGGCGGCGGGGCGGGCGAGACGCGTTACGCTCAAGGCGCAGCTGGTCGCGGCGGGCCGCGCAAAGCGCGCCGAGCGCGACGAGAAGCTGGGCAGCAAGAAGGCGCGCAAGGCGGCCAAGGCGGCCGAGAACGCGCGCATCGCGCAGCTGCCGCTCGTGCGGCGCTACTCAGAGCTGAAGAAGCTGGCGATCGCCGGCTTGCAGGCGCTTCTCGGACGCTGTTGAGCGGTATACTAGTGCCCCACTACTCACGGCTCTCGTTTGTTGTAGGACCAGCTCAAGGCCTTCAAGCTGGCGGGGAAGACGGGCTTCACTGTCACGCAGGCGAACCGCGCGGACTATTGCACGCAGCTGCAGAACCTCCTCTTCGCCGCGCATGGCGTCGAGGCGAACGACCTCGAGGACGGCGACTCGGGGTGCGACGGCGACGGCGTGGTGCGGAAGGTGCGGCAGCGGCGCGTGGCGGGCGAAGAGGGCGGCGGCGGCGGCGGCGGCGGCGGCGGCGGGAAGAAGAAGAAGAGGAAGAGGGTCGATCTGCGTGAGCTCAACGGCTGGCAGTGGGAGGCGAGTGAGAAGTTTGACATCGAGCGCATTCTCGACAGCAAGGTGGAGACGGTCGGCAAGGTGCTTGCGCCCTCACACTCGCACCTGCCCTTGCTTATTGCCACTCCATCGCTCACGTGCCCGACCACCTCTCTTCTCGCCTCACAGGGCAAGAAGCGGGTCGAGATGACGTACTACTTGATCCTCTGGAAGGGGTACCCGCCGGACGTGTCGACGTGGGAGCCAGAGTCAGAGATACACGACGACTTGATCGACGCGTACGAGGCGGAGCTCGATGCGGCGTCTGAGCTGGAGGCGGAGGAGGCGGAGGAGGGCGAGGAGGGCGAGGAGGAGTGACTAGCGCGCGTCCTCCGCCCCCGTGCGCGTGTGTTGAGGTGGTGCGAGAGCCATTTGCGTGCGTGAGCGGTGCGGCCGGGTGTGTGAATGTGAACCGTGGGCCACTTGTGTTGAGGGATGGCAACCCATGTGGGTGCCTATGTGTTTCTTTCGAGCTAACGCACCTTGTTTTGCAGTTTCTATGCCGTGCTATTCACTTCCAAAAATCGACCCCCGGGACCCCGACCGACCTAACACTGCCCGGCGGTGGCGCGGAAGCGATCCTAAGAGTTACCGCGAAGTGCCGAACTTAAGGTAAGGTAGCTTGAGTTAGGTTAGGTGCTTTGCACTGAGTTAGGCACGGGGTAGCAGCAGTTAGGCACGGGGTAGCAGCGCGCCATTGATTTCTTTTTTGGTCCGAACGGGCTGACGCGCTGACGTGTCCCCGCCGCCTATCCGCTGGTGTGCATGCTGCTGCTGCTCACCCTAGCGGGGACGAGCCTAGTCTACCCCAAGCCAATGCCCAAGACGCAGCTGACCCTCGCGTTTGGTGCGCCGACTCTGCAGCTCTCCTCGGCGCCGCCACCGACGTCCGCCCTTCAGTCCGCGCTCGCACGGCCACCCTCCAACGCTGCTGGCCAGACCCAGGCGGTCGTCGCGCCTCCGGCGGCGGCGGCGGGGTCATCAGGCGTGACAAAGATCGTCGTCGACCAGAAGCGGCCGGTGATGGCCAAGTTGAAGGTCGGCCCCAACGCCGAGCTCGAGATGGTGCAGCGCGCCGGCGCCGACTCGGACGACGAGGGTGCGGCGAGTGAGGAGGAGGAGGAGGAGGAGGGGGAGGAGGAGGAGGAGGAGGAGGAGTAGGAATCTAGTAGCGTAGGCACTCGTACTCGAGTGTAGGTGCTCGTAGCGTAGGACGTAGGAGGGAGATGCCTCAGTGGGGCCCGCGGGGCCCGTGTGCCGGTCCGGCGGGACCGAGAGGTGGGTAGCAGGAGTTAGGCACATTAGAACAGGAGTTTGGCAAGAGGAAAAGAGCTCCCTAACTCAAGCTACCTTACCTTAAGTTCGGCACTTCGCGGTACGCGCTCTGGTTACGTGTTAAGGGCTACAGTGTTTTCAGCTCCAACTTGTTAGCGCGTGGTGTTAAGATAAAAGCCCGCGGCGGCGGCGCGGGAGCAATCCTCCAGTTGACGCATGAAGCTGTCAAACGCCTGTGCACTTGAGCAAGTGACTACTATCAAGGGTCAAGCGATTGCTGCGCTTTCGGCAAGCGATCGCAGCGTGTAGCGGCTGTAAACTCGCACTAGCATGCACGCACCTCGGTCACGTTGCGCTGGACGGAGGCGTCGGCCTGCGGCTTGCGCAGCTCACGAACCTGTAGCGACAGCGGTGTGGCGGGCGCCGCAGCGGCGGCCGTACTAGGCGCAGGAGCTCGACGTGTTGCGGCGTCGGCCTCGCCCGCAGGCAAGTCCAGCGCCGAAGATGCTCCATCGTCGAGCACCTCCACTAGCGCCTGCAGCACGCTCGGCAGCCCAGGCGCTTCCTCGCGCTTTGGTGGCACAGGCACTTGCCGTTGGAGCGGGCAATCTCCTTCACCACCTGCGCCGCGTGCGCCGGCCACCCTGCGGCGGGGGCGGCGAGGAGGCTCGCGTCGATGTCGTCAAAGTCCTCCTCAAAGTCCTCCTCGCACCGATCGATTAGCTGCAGCGGCGAGCGGGCGGTGAGGCAGACGAGCAGCGTGATCCCGACTGCAAAGCCGTCAGACGCGGTGGAGTACGCTCCGCCCTGGGTGATGCTGGGATCAAGGTAGCCCTTGGTCAAGTAGAGGGCGTTTGAAACGCTCTTCTTCGATGCCTCTGGCCGGTCCACCTTCGCAAAGCCCGTGTCCGCGAGGAAGGCATTCAGCCCCTCGTCGAGCAGGATGTTCTCGGGCTTGAAGTCACGGTGCACGATCACGCCCTTGCCCGGCAGCGGCGTGTGCAGGTAGATCAGCGCGTCAATCGCCTGTGAGACGCAGCGCAGCCGTCGCGCCACGACAGCGGCCGCAGCGGCGTCGCCACGCCCAGCCGCTGCAGGTGCAGCGGGTCGGCATCCTCCGGAAAGAGGCGGTCGGCGAGGCTGCCGCCGCGCATGAGGGGGAATACGAGGCATGGCGCCTGCACACTTGGGACGAGCATGAGCATGAGCATGAGCATGAGCATGAGCATGAGCGTGAGGATTGGCACTAGCGCGGGCAAGTGAGCATGAGCATAACCATGAGCATGAACACGATCATGAACATGCCTGCTCAGGTGCATTTTAACCAGCCCTGCCTTCGACTTGCCGCTCTTTTTGGACTTGCTCCGCTTGCCCTGCGATGCCTCCTCTTCAGCGAGAAGCTCTGCCGCCGCCGCCGCCGCCGCCGCTTCCGCCGCTTCACGCTCCGCTGCAGTCACTGCAACCGCAGCGGGCTGTGCCACAGGGCCGTGGCCTCGCCGGCTGCGCAGGAGCTTGACCACCGCGTCATGCTTTGCGTCCTGTGCAATTGAGAGCGGCGTATGGCCGCGTTCGTTTGGCACGTGCCCTGGGCGCCCTGGGCGAGCAACCACTTTGCCACGCCCAAGTGTCCATACTTCGCTCAGACAGCCGCTGGCCATCCATCACTACTTCGCAAGGTCCTGGCCCAATCGCGCTGAGCCAGATGTACCGTGACGCAGCCATGCAGCGACAGGAGTCGTGGACAGCGCAGAAAAGGCCCATTTTTTACTCTCGTGAGCTGTGAACAGACGCACTTGCCTTCGGGGGCAAATCGTTGGAGAGGAATTTCTTTTGGTGCAAAATTCGACAAAATGGCCGCGCTAGCATTCTCGTCGATCGGCCTTTCCGGTGTCAGTTCGCGCCGGCTCGCCGTGCACAGCGCGGGCAAGGCTCCGCCACGCCGCGCGGCCGTGGCCCGGCTGCAGGCCACTGAGGTTGCGGCGAAGGGTGAGGTGCTGTGGGAGCCCGACGCGGATGCTGTCGAGCAGACGGCGATGCGCAAGTTCCAGCGGTCCGTCGGCGTGGAGGGCGGATACGGCGAGCTGTGGAAGTGGTCGGTGGAGGAGTCCGACACCTTTTGGACATCGCTACTGGACTTCCTTGAGATTGAGTACGAGGGCTCCACCACGCCTGCACGGGACGGCGACGTCATGCCGGACGTCACCTACTTTCCCAATGTGCGGCTCAATTTCGCAGAGAACATGCTGCGGCACGGGGCGCCGGGGTCCCCGCTCGCGAACGAGGAGGCGCTCGTGTCCATCTCCGAGGCCCGCGACGACCGCCGCTGGACCTTCGCAGAGCTGCGCGCGGATGCAGCCCGCGTGGCCGCCTCGCTCGCCGCACTCGGTGTGGGAAGCGCAGACGCGTGCGGAGGCTACCTTCCCAATATTGGTGAGACGGTGCTGGCGATGCTTGGCACGGCCAGCCGGGGCGCCACCTGGACCTCGTGCTCCCCCGACTTCGGGCCTGCGGCGGTTGCGGACCGCTTCCGGCAGGTAGGCCCAAAGGTGCTCTTCTTGGCAGACGGCTACATGTCGGCCGGCAAGTGGACGTCGGTGGTCGACAAGGCAGAGGAGCTGATCGAGGCGCTGCCGACGCTCGAGCGGGTCGTCCTCGTCTCGCTCGGCGACGAGCCTCCCGCTTGGCGCAGCGAGCGAACCAAGCGGCTCGTCGTCGGGTGGGAGCAGTTCCTCGCTCAAGGCGACGCCGCGGAGCAGGCCGAGGCGCCGTTTGAGCGGGTGCCGTTCGCGCACCCGCAGTTCGTGCTCTACTCCTCGGGCACCACCGGAATGCCAAAGTCCATCGCCCACGGCGCGGGCAACACGCTGCTCCAGCACGCAAAGGAGCTGGTGCGGCGCCAACCGACTGCCCCCGCCCCGTCCCACCCCACCCTGTCCGCACCGCCCGTCCGCGCCGCGCTCTCCACCGCCGCCCCCGCACCGCCCCTCCGCGCGCGCGCCGCAGGTGCTGCACTCGGAGCTGCGGCCGCGCGACCGCATGCTCTTTTACACTACCTGCGGCTGGATGATGTGCGCCGCTGCGCGCGCGCGCGCCGCGCCCCACCACCGCACAGGGGGGGGAGGCGGCTTGTGGTGAGACCCCTAGGTGGAACTGGATGAGCTCGTCGCTTTTTGCGGGGGCGGCACCCCCCCCCCCCCCCCCCTCCCCCCCCATTCCACCCGCCTCGGACCGCCTCCCACTCGCGTGCGCAGGCGCGGCCGTCGTCTGCTACGACGGGTTCGCCGCCTACCCGAAGCTGTCTTCGCCGTGGGACGTCGTCGAGCGCGAGCGGGTCACGCACATGGGCACGTCGCCCCGCTTCTTCCAGGCGTGCCGCAAGCGCGTGCGGCCGATGGAGGACAACGACCTCTCCGCGCTGCGCGTCGTCTTCTCCACCGGCTCGCCCCTGCTGCCCGAGGACTTCGAGTATGTCTACTCGAAGGTCAAGTCCGACGTGATGCTCGCCTCGATTTCGGGCGGCACCGACATCTGCTCGTGCTTCGCGCTGGGCAACCCGACGCTGCCTGTCCGCAAGGGCGAGCTTCAGGCCTTCGGCCTCGGCCTCGACGCCTGCGCTTTCGACCGCGACTCTGGCCGCGCCATGGTGGGGAGCAAGGCAGCGCTGCGCCCGACGTGGCGGGCGAGGAGAGGCGAGGAGAGGGAGGGCTCCGGTTCCCGGCCGTAGGCGGAGCTAGTCTGCCGCTCGCCTTTCGTCGCCGCGCCGGTCTGCTTCTTTGGCGACGACGAGCGCAAGAGCCGCTACCGCGGCGCCTATTTCTCCGAGGATGACGGTGTGTGGTACCACGGCGACCTCGTCGAGGTGACTGGCTCGGCGGGAGAGTGCGGCGGCCTCGTGATCCACGGCCGCTCCGACACCACGCTCAAGCCGGGTGGGGTGCGCATCGGTACCGCCGAGGTGTACCGTTTCGCCGAGACGGTCGGCGCCGTCGAGGATTCGCTCGTGATTGGCGACCAGATTAGGACGGGCAAGCGCGCCGGCGACGTGCGCCGCCCACTCTCATGCGTCTCGACGTCTCTCCACTCCCCTCGTTGCCCCGACCCCGCCGCCGCCGGCCTTGCAGGTGCGCATCGTCCTCTTCGTCAAGCTCGCCGAGGGGCGCGGGCTCGATTCGGAGCTCGAGGCCGAGATCCGCACCGCCATCCGCTCGGGCGCCTCGGACGCGCACGTGCCGGCTCTCATCCGGCAAGTGCAAAAGATCCCGTACACGCGCTCGGGCAAAAAGGTGGAGCTCGCGGTGCGCGATCTGGTGTGCGGCGTCGAGCCCAAGAACGTGGGCGCCCTGCAGGATCCGTCCGCGTTCGACGAGTACCGCCAAATAGCAAAGACCGGGCTCTAACGCGCGCAGGGCACGCCCCCTCGCTTCTACACCACGCTTGGCGGTCCTGCGTTCCATCGTCGGCGCAAAGGGAGGGAGGGTCGACGGGCGCTGTGGCCCTGAGGGCGCTGCTAGGCGCAAAGGAGACCGAGCAAGCGGCGAGCGACCAGTGTGGTTCCGATCGGCTCCGTCTTTCTTCCGCGCGGGGGCCGCCGCGCCCCCGGGTCGCGTCGGATACATTCGTGCGCGGGCGGGAGGGGTGGAAGCAGTTCGGCTCCGCATAGCATCTTTGGAAAATACGTAACGGGGCGCGCGAGCAACGACAAAATTAGATATAAGAAGTATTTCGTATTTTTGTGCGCACACCACACCACGTCACCGGCCGGCCGCGCCCGCCGCGCGCCGGGCCGGCGTCCGGCGTGCGGCGACCGCTTGGCCGGCGGGCGGCGGCGGCTCTACCCCCTACGCGCGGGGCGGGCCGGCGCCCACGCGGATCGCGGTCCCTGCACCCGCACAAGGCCACAAGCCGCCACGCCGCACGCCACGCGGCGATACTTGCGGCGACGACCCACGGCCCGCGCGGGCACGTCTCGGTCTGCGCGGCGAGACGAGAGCGACCGTACTTCGGCGTACATCACGTCACATCCCCCGGCGCCCGCGCGCGTGACGGCGCGCGAGTCCGCGACGGACACGACAGTCTCCGCACAGTGCCCCCCCCCCCCCCCCCGTCTATAAGACAAAACCGGTGTGCGCAAAAAATTGTGACCGGGCTCTGGCCTCTGCGGGAGGGGGAGCGCGCCTGCCCCCGCGCCTCGTAATGTAATATTTACCTCACACCATGGAGGATGACATGCGCGAGCGGTTGGAGCCCCGCGAGTCCCGGCGGGAGCGGCTCGGCTCCGCGACCGCCACGGGTGGCTCCTCCTCGTCCGCGAGCAGCGAACGCTCCTCCTCCACCGAGCCGGAGCCGCGGGTGCTGCCCTTTCGTGAAGATCGAGCCGACTCGCGCATTGACTTTTCGCGCATCGACGCGCGCTCCTTCTTCTCGCGCTTGCGTGCGATCCTGGCAACCAGCTTCGTAAACTCGTCGAGCCCGATTGTGCCGTCGCCGTCCTTGTCAAACTTGTCTAGAATGCGTCGTGCGGCGTCTGAGCTTGTCTCAACGCCCAGGCGGGCGAGCGCCTGCTGCAGCTCCTTGACCTCTAGCGAGCCCGAGCCATCGGTGTCAAACTCTTCAAAGGCCGCGCGGACCTCGTCCGGGTCAGGGCCCGAGGGAGGCTCCCAGTCGGGGTCGATCATGGCGTTGCCGTCGGTCTGACACTCGACGTCGACGGGTTCGCCCTTCTCGAGACCAGCGGGCGGGCAGCACGGGCTGGTCCAGCACATGTGGCAAATCTTGCACGGCAGCATCAGGCACGCGCAGAGCATGTACTTTTTTAGGAGCATGTCGAGCAGTGCCATGATGCCGTAGATGAGCGCGACCATCGAGAAGAACTTGGTGAACCACACCATCGCGGCGTTGGACGCCTCGGACCAGTCGAGTTCGGGGTACACGACGTACGGAGTTGCCCCTTCCTCCTTCCCCGTCTCCTCCTGGTAGATGAGCGTGAAGACGGTGTAGATGCAGCAGAGCAGCTGCGGCCAAAACATGTCCCAAACAGGGTAGTACTGCTCGTGGACGCACCAGTCGAGGAGCGAGATGAGCAGCGTGATCCACTGGGTGCTGCGCGGAATCAGGTACGTGGCAACCGCTATTGTGGAGGACGACACCCCTTGAGGAGCTTGTTGAGTACATTCTGAGTCCCAGTACGACAGTTTCGGGCAGCAGTCGTCTGTCCAGTCGTCATTATCGTTATCGCCTGACCACATGTTGCACTGCGGCCCATTGCTGAGGTCGCCAACCAGCCAGGTGTGGCGAGGGGGGGCATGCAGGTGGCTTAGAGGGGCCGAAGCCACCTGGAGCCACCTGCCCGGGCCCAGGTGGCGCACGTGCTCCAGCCCTCCAGGCAGGTGTGGCGAGGGGGGCAGGTGGCTTGGAGGGGGGCGAAGCCACCTGGCGCCACCCGAGCGGTCACATGGCCACAGGCGGCGTTTGGAATCTACTCCAGGTGCTTTTTGCACTGTTTGCCCATGGCCACAGGCGGCGTAAGCCATCTGCTCCAGGTGCTTTTTGCACTGTTTTGCCCATGTCCACAGGCGGCGTAAGCCATCTGCTCCAGGTGCTTTTTGCACTGTTTTGTCCATGTCCACAGGCGGCGTAAGCCATCTGCTCCAGGTGCTTTTTGCACTGTTTTGCTCATGGAGCAAGTGGCTAAAGCCACCTGCATTTTGTGCAAAAAGCTGCAAAGGACTCGTGGAGGCACGTGGCGCTTTCCGCGTGTGTCTCGTGCAAAATCCGGCATTTTGTGGCTTTCAGGTGGCACGACGCGATTCAGGTGGCGTGGAGCCTCCTACCTGGGCCCATCTATGGCAGCCTCGGTGCCTCGCTCACATACGGCTTACGGGAGCGCAGAGACCTGAGAGCTGAAACGGTCCGTCGACAAATTCGAACGTCCGCAGCACTCGCCGAATTCGAAACGTCCGCAGCTCCCGCCGATCTCCCGCTAACGGATGTAACCTACCTCTCTTTAAGGTAAGATTGCTAAAAATCTATCTCCTCTCAAAAGCGAGGGGGAGGGGGCACGGCGCGGAGAGGGTTGCAGCATAAATAGAGCAGTACCTCCAGGAGAGATGGGCGACCGAACACAGAGGCACAGTGCGCACCCCGCCCGCACAGGGAAGTTAGCGATTTCTAGCGTTCTTGTCGACCTTCATCGAAAATCGTGCGGCCAGGCCAGCTGTGGGCGATGAGCTTGAGGGCGATGGTGCGGCTGACGGCGCTGGCGTGCGCCACCAACCCGGCTTCCGCCCTCGCTCCCGGCGGGAGGAGCCTCGTCGGCGGCGCTTTCCGCGTGGCCTCTGCGCCGGCGGCCAGCGCCAGCACAGCCGCGGCCAGCGCGGCCGCCTCCGCCGCCGCCGGGTACGACAACGGCAGGTTCGCCGGGCGGTACGCGCTGGGGAAGAACCTGCCGCCCGTCAAGGCCAAGAATGGCTTCCGCTTCGCGCGGACCGATGGCGAGGTTCGCGTGCTCGGCGGCGCGTGCTCCGAAGTGCTCTCTGGTCCCAACCTGGCGGAGCTGCTGCGGCCCGGCTTCGAGCTGGAGGTTCGTGCGATGGAGGCGCTTCGCCGGGGTGAGCCGGCCGAGTCGCTCTCGGTGCACACCTCCACGGGCGTGCCACTGCAGCTGGAACAGTTCCTCGCCGCGCTCGGGCCGCACCTGCCGAGCAAGAGCGGCGACTGGTGCGTCAACCTGCAGGCGGAGGGCGCCAGCGCGGTGCACGCCGCCATCGACATGGCGCTGCAGATGTCCGGGGCCGACCTCGGCAGCCCCAGCGCGCGCACCCGCGTCGCGTGCGGCTCCTCCTCGTACCACGGTCCGGCGTCCACCTCGCCCGGCGGAGGCACACCCCTCGGCGCACAGGCCAAGGGGCTGACGCACCCTGTGCGCTACCCGGTGCCGAGCCCGTTCCTGCGCTGGCGCGGCGAGGACGAGGCCGCCTTCCACGCCCGCATGCTCGCCGACTTCAACGCCTACCTCGACAAGTACGGCCACGAGGCGAACCAACCCCCCGCGCCAACCTCGCCGCTGCGCCATTCCTGCCCTCTCGCCCCCCTCCGCCTCTTGAAACCCGCCTCCGCCCTCGCCGCCCCGCCGCCGCCCCGACGCCCGCCCCTTCCGGCGCGGCAGGTCGGCGTCCTCCTCGTGGAGCCACAGTGGGGCTCCTCCGTCGCGGCGATGCCGTGGCCACCCGCGCTGCTTCGCGACTACATCTCCGCCGCAAAGGCGCGCGGCATCGCCGTCATCGCAGACGAAATCATGTGCGGCCTCGGCCGGCACGGCGCCGAGCCGGCCGCTGGCGGCACGGGCTGCTTCCTCTCCGAGTGTTGGGACCTGCAGCCGGACATCCTCACCTTCGGCAAAGGCATCGGCGGAGGAGCCGGCCACCTACTCTCCGGGGCCGTCGTGCTTGAGGGCGCGAGCAAGCTGCAGGGTGGGCCCGCGGGCACCGCCTACCAGTCGCACACGTACGCCGGCTCGTCGGCGCGCGCCCTCGCCAACGGGGCGGCCCTGCTCGCCTCGCTCGAGAAGTGGAGGCCGTCGGTGCGCGCGATCGAGGCGGCGGTCGCCCCGATCGCGGCTGAGCTCAACGAGGCGTCGGGCGGCGCGGTGCTTGCCCACGGGCAGGGCGCGCTGTGGGGCGGCCTCTTCGCCCACCCCGATCCCCAGGCGCGCACCGCCGCCAACCTCGAGTTCAAGCGCCTCTGCGCAGAGGCGTGCGGCCCCACCCCGCGCCCACGGCGCCCTCGTGGCACGCCGGAGGAACGTCCTAAGCACGTCCGCAGGCGCGCGTGCTGCCCTACTTTGTGCCCGTTGGCGGCTTCATGCTTACGCCGCGCTACGACGACGACCCCGACGTGTATGGTGCCGCTGTCAGGGACATGGCCGATTGCGCGTTGCAGGCGGCGCGCAGCATGGGTTGGGCGCCGTCGGCGCTTCTGCCCGTCTCAAAGCCCGCACCTCGAGAGTCTTGAGGTTTGAGGCGCTACACTTTGCACGGCCGGTTCCACTCGAACGGCCGGTTCCACTCGAGTTTGCGGTACGAAAAGGTGCCGGGGCGCGTTCGCCGTCGCTGCCACCGGTTTGGGGGATCGCCAGCCACGTCCCACGTGGTCGTGCAGTCCAGCACCTTACGCCATGCGGCAGCAACGCGGGTGCAAGGTGTGTTGCAACGTGAGGTGCTCGGGGTCCGACCGCATACGTGAAGCTAGCATTTGATATGTGCGTGTGTGCGGTTGTGAGGGTCCTCTACGGCTCTTGGGCTCTAGCGTTTCTAGCTCGGGTTGTCTCATCACACGAAAATAGCAATAAAACCCTTGTGCTAATTTTTTACGGACACCTCGCTCACTGAGATCTGAGTAGAGTGAAGTAAAATAAATAAATAAAACGGACACCTCTACTAGGAGATGGGTAAAAAGGAACAGGTCCCCGCCCTGCGGTCTTTGTGCAGGGTTCTTTGTGGGTGGGGTGGTCAGAGTGAAGTACTCTGTGAGATGGGTAAAAAAAAGGAATGGACAATGGTCCCCGCCCGTCGCGGCCCGATCTTTGTGCATGGTTCTTTGTGGGTGTGGTCGGCGTGTCGTCCTCCCAATCTGCATCTGGGCACTGTGGGGGACAGGTACAAAAGTGTCTCGCACAACGCACACACCTCCACAGACCACACCCAGTCACATCCTCACGAAACTCGAAAGAGTTGAGTCGCTCGCACCGCGATTTTAAAAGTCGACCAACGCAAGTCCAAGGACCAAGGAGCAAGATCTCTCTAAGTCTCTACCTCGAGGTCGAGCCCCTGCCGGCAGCCAGGGCCTCGAGGTACAGGTAGACTTCTTGTGTGGGTCGTGTGGAAATAGACAAAACGCGCAGTGCCAGACCGACACACGTCGTGGACAGTCTCTTTTTCCTCTCTGGGCTCGAATAATGGCCTCGCGCATTGTGCGTGTTGCAACACCGTGCTTCACGGCTCTCTCGTGCAGGCGAAAGGCGACAACGGCGGGCAGGCCTCAGCCTTCGCCGGACGCCGCGCGCCCCGCCGCCAACGCCACCCCCGACACCGATCGCAACTCAGGCCTTCCACACACCGCGGTCGAGGGGGCGCTGCCGCCCAGCACAACCGGCGTGAGATCAACACGATCGGCCTGGGACGTCGCAGTGATTAACAGGAACGCAGTGGCGGCACTGATCAGCACCGACGGCAGATGACCATCGTTGGTGTGCTGCTGCTGGCGCTCCTCAGGAGCGGATTGGCACAATCGCACAGATTCGAAGGTTGGCGACAGAACCGATGAGTGTGCAATCAGCTGCCTCGCATCGAATCGCCGGCGGCACTTTGGGCATGGTGGGGACTCCTGCATTGGCGTCGATGACACTGCGAAGAGGAGGAGACAATGCAGATCGAAAATGTGTCCGCAGGGGAGCTTGTGCGGGTCCGTCGGCGTCTCGAGGCAAATCGCGCATATCTCTTGGTCCTTCTCGCCCCCTTGCTCTCCTTCAGCGGTGATGCTCTCCATTACGTTGCGGGTCGGCCGCGAGTTCCAGTTCTCGCTAAGTAATCAATGAGGTTCTAGAAGAGAAATTCAGGGCCGCGCAAGCGACAGGACAGGACACTCCCCGCCGAGCTGGCAAATGTGGCGTTTTGTGACGCACGTCATTTTTTCTATCGCCTGTTTTCTTTTTTCAGTCTGCCTGAGTAGCTAGCGTGCAACGCCCGAGCAGGGTGGACACATGGCCGCGGGCGCAGCGCCGTCGGCGGGGCTGGAGGAGGAGACCGGTGGCATCTCGCTGCACAGCCTCTCGTACGAGCAGCTCATGCAGCTCAAGAACTCCATCGAAGAGGTTGGCGGCGGGCCCGGCGGTGCGTCGGCGTTCCATAGCTGACGCTGCCGCAAACGCGCCATAGGAGCTGCAAGGTCTGCAGGGTGCCCACCAGCAGCTGCAAGTCTCGACGAAGAAGCTGCAGATTTCAAAGGCGGCGCTTGACGAGCTCACCAAGACGTCGGAGGGCACACGCATGCTCGTGCCTATAACCTCGTCGCTCTACGTGCCGGGCGAGACGTCGGCGCTGCAGTCTTGCCTGGTCGATGTGGGCACCGGCTACTACATTGAGAAGTCAGTCGGTGCGTCGGCGATCGCGTCGCTCTCGCTCTCGCTCTCGCTCTCGCTCTCGCTCTCGTTCCCTCTCCCTCTCAATCTCCCTCTCCCTCTCTACACCTCACTCTACACCCCCCCCCTCCTGCCCTACCCCTACCCTCGCCGCGCCGCCGCGACCGCCGCCGCCTGCCCTACGCAGCGGAGGCGCAAGCTTTCATGGATCGCAAGATCGAGCTGATGGCGAACCAGACTGTGGGGGTGCGCCAGGCGGCGGCTATCAAAGGCCAACACATGCAACAGGCGATGCAGGTCCTGAACGAGAAGCGGTTCGCCGCAAAGCAGGGCTAGCGCTGCTTTTGGTACACTGCTTCTTCCCACCGCCGTCCTCGTCTCCTCGTACTACGTGAGTCACCAGTCTTCAGCCGGTGAAGGCCGAGATGATCCCGGGGCCGAATCTTTTTGTTGAAAGAAAGAAGAATCCGCGAAGAAAGAAAGAAAAACAAACCCATGGGGCCGCCCCCCGCCCGATCAGTAGCCTCGAATTTTTCCTCGTGTGCGGTGCGTGGTGGACGCGTACTCCGCCCATCTGGGCTGGCCGCAATCTGAATCTCCCATCCTTCCCTGGCCGCTTCTTATCTTATCTTGTATTCGTAGAATTCTTATCTTATCACCGGCCCGAACAAAACAAACCGCTAACCGGCCCGTCGCACGCACTAACCTCTTGAGTTTTCCGTGGCGCCCCCTTTTCCGCCCGAGCTCGGCGTGACTCAGGCCACCACTCGAGGGGTGGGGCGGGGGCCCGGTTCACACTGAATATGTGAATAAGGATATGCAATTTGATTTAGGCGTCTCGCACAGTGGCAAAGCAGATGAGTGCGCATCACCCATCAGAGACGCATGAGAGGCCCAACCGCAGTGCGCAGAGTACAACGGGCCAATGTTTCGATGGCGTACGAAGCCCGATGCCCCACGTGGGGGATTCTCCGTTGAGGCTAAACGGCGCTCATATCCGCTCTCGATTAGTGCTCATAAGAAACCTCGACGGTTGGTAAGGTAAGGCAAGGTGAACTTCTCCACACACACAAGGTGGTGGGGCAAGGGGGGGCGTCCCTCACAACTCCACGACGGTTGCAGCCGGTCGAAGGGTCGGGTGAGAGGGCGATCACTGCCGCGCCTCACCCAACGTGTTTAGATGTTCTCATCACCCACCATTTGTTCTCTCTAAACGCGTTATGTATATATCAGTCACAGGAACCAAAGATTGCAAGGTATGTGTATGTGTGTTGGAGCGCGGGCCCCCAATAAGCAATATCTCTTTTGCTTCTATATGTACTATGAACACACCATGTGTGGGAAGTTGTGCGGGATTTCTTTTGATTTTTGAGGGTGCTGATTACTACGAGTCAGCTTCGGCCGGCAGTGTGTGTGCATCCAACACCGCGAGAGAGACGAGGCACATCCAGCAGCTGCGGGGTGCGGGCTGAAAAGAATTTTACGACCGACGACCCGCTTTCTGGCTGAAAAGAATTATTGGGCCCGACACTGGGCACGGGACTGGCGCGCAAAAAGAAAATCGGGCCGGTCCGGAATTGCATAAATTTACGGGGCGCACCTCAGGCGACTCGGAGTAGCGTCCACATCATCACCCGCTCGCGGCAGATGGGGCACTGCTCCATTCTTGCGGAGCAGGAGCTGCAAGCGCACAAGTGCCCGCATGGAATCGCGACGTGCGACTTCGGGCGCGTAAAGCAGATGACACACGTGGTCTCGCCGCCGAGGGTCGACTCGGGCACGGCCGGGCGGCCCGTATCGAACATGGCGTCCGCCAGGGAGACGACGACGGCCGCCGGCGGGTCACTCGGTGCAGCCTCCGCAGACGAGAGCGAAACCGAACCCGCCGCCAGGCCGAGCTCCTCTGCAATCGCAGCCACCATCTCCGCGTCCACCGCGTCCTCCTCGGCGGCCTGCGTGTCGCGCTCCGCCGCCTCCGCCTCCGCCGCCGCCGCCGCCGCCGCCGCCGCCGCCGCCGCCGCCGCCGCCGCCGCCGCCGCCGCCGCCGTCGCAGCCGCCGCCGCCGCCGCCGACGCCGCCGCCGACGCCGCCTTCGCAGCCGCTTCTCTTTTAGCCATATTGGCTACCTGCCTCTGAGCCGCCTCCGCTGCTTTCCTGGCTGCCGCCTTTGCGGCCCTCCTCGCCTCAGCCTTGGCTGCTCTCCTCGAATGCTTTGCGTCCGCGGTTCTCTCCGAATGCTTTGCATCCGCTCTCCTTGCCCCCATCCCCATAGCCACTCGCAGCTCCCTCAAGTCAGCGTAAGCATAAGTAAAGCAGAAGCTGAGGAACCCCAGACACCATTGCACAAGCATCGGAGGTCCATAGCCCCACCAACCGTCGGCGGGACTGGAAGCAGCGCCACCGCGGACCCGTCGGATGGGACGCAAATCGTGAGCACCATCGCTCTGGGGATCTTTGAGCGCCTCAGCGCAAGCAGTGTGGCTTTGCGCATCAGCCATTTGCAGCGCCGTGCGCCCAGACTCGTCCCGCATCTCCACCCGCGCCCCCGCACGTAGCAAGAATGGCGGGGTGGTTGTTGTGAGCGGCGAGCATCAGTGGCGTGAAGCCATCCGTCTTCTGGTGGTTGATCTCCGCGCCGCGCCGGAGCAGCAAGTCGAATGCGGCCTCCGTCAGCGCATTGCTGCCTTTGTTGCTCTGCTGGTTGACCTTGGCGCCGCGCTGCAACAGTGCTTCGACCACCGGCTGGTGCCCAAACAACGCGGCCTGCCTTAGTGCGGCGTGGCCTTCGCTATTTTGCTGGTTGACGTTCGCACCCCGCTGCAACAGCAGATCGACCACCCCACCGTGCCCGTTCTCAACGGCTATCATGAGCAGCGTGATGCCCCACGCCCCACCATTGGTGAACGTCGAATTGGCATTACCGCCACCGTCGAGCCAGGAGCGCACCACCATATCATCGCCGTGAAACGCTGCTTCCCAGGTCGCGTAAGGGACCAGCGGCAGCGCGTCGTGCTTGGTGGCATCTCCGACCTCCATTTCACCCGCGACCGAGCCAGCGGGAGCACTGCTTGCGACGGCAGCCCCAAGGTGCAGCTCGAGGGCGTGGCCACCCACGCCGAGCGCCAAGGCGCACAGCCAGGCGGCCGTGTGCAGTGGCATTCGATGCGCTGCGAATTGGGTGAGCGTGCCGGGCATTTCCGAAGCAGTGGGACGCCTCCTCGGCCGACTGTCGGCGATCGCCGAGGCTTTGGTTGAGAAGAATCCCGGCCTGCTCGAGAATTCCAGTCCAAGTGCTCCATCCTCCTTTCTCGGTCGGTAACATCGAAGACTAGCTCAAGAAAACCCCATTCATTCGCCACTTGCTCATCAGCCCGGCGACCGACCGCACGTTCATCCGCCCACGTTGCGGTACACCACCGACCGCTATAGTCCCTTTTGCTGCCCCCCCCCCCCCCCTTTGATCCCTTTCCCCTCGCCGCACACATGTGCATAATCTCCGTACCAAGCGTTTCGAAAAAGAATTTAGGCAAGCGCTCGGGCGCCACGGGAGGATCCGTCGAGGGAGCCCGAACCCTCCACATGCCACAAACGGCTACGCGCGCGCTCTATCGCGACATTCTGCGCACCGCCCAGCGCTGGCCCTCAATCAGAAGGGCAAAGGTGATCGAGGAGATCAGAGCCGGCGCGCTCTCCTCCACCCGCTTGCTGCCGGCAGCACGCGCCTCCCGTGACCCTGGCCCTCCCAGCGCCACAGAGTTTCGCGAGAACCGCAACGTCAAGGAGCCGGAGCAGCTACAAAAGCTGCTGGCTGAGGCACGGACCGGCCTGGCCGCACTCCGCTCCCAATCCGGGCTGTCCAGCAAGGCGAGCGATGTGGACTTCAAGTTTGGGGACTTCTGAGGTTCAAAGAGGAAGCGACCTGGACCGACGCCCCAAAGGGCAGGTCGCAGGAGTTCGAGTTCGTCACCTCTCGCCCACGCCAGTGGGTGGCGACGGTAAGACGGTGCGACCACCAGCGCCCTCGCATCGCGCGAGTGCAACGCGAGGTCCGCTCCTCGCGCCCTGGTGCCGGCGCGCGGGGCGTCGATGGCGAGAGCCTCGCGCTGGACTCGCCGACAGCCACGTGGCGCATGGCGCTGGTCGGGCTCGATCTCGCGTCTCGGGGAGCGTCGCGCCGCTGCAACGCATAGTCCAGGGCCTCACCGTGATTGTCGAACTCCGTCCTCACCGTTTGTGCCGCTGCCGAGGGGGCGCGCCGTGCATGGCGGGTGCAGCCCTCTGTGCTTTTGGCCGCGCGCAGCCGGCACCCCTGAGCACCTCGACGGTCGGTCATAATCATGTGTGGCCGGATGTGCGCGCGTGGTTTCGGGGCGGCGGTGTGACAGTCTCCCGGTCCGCGCTGCGGCGTCCCGCCGTCAACCCACCGTCATCCATGTGGACTGTGGTCTGTGGCTCAACCTGTGCGCGTCGGTGTGACTGGGTGTGTGTGGACTTTGTGGAGCGCGCTGCTGGGGGGGCCGGGGCCGTCGCGTGTCATCGCTCTCTCTGTCAGTGCCGAGCGAGCGTGCGGTCGGGTAGAGACCGCGGACGCCGCCACCGGCGACCGGGCGTGCGCCGGGCGTGTTCTCGTATATACAGTGTATATACGCACGCGCTTTTCCACCTCATATATGAGCGGTACACCTGCACCTCCTCCCGCGGCGGCTCACAACGGCCGCCGCCGCCGCCGCCGCCGCCGCCACCCTCCTCGTCCGCCTCCTCGTCCGCCTCCTCGGCCGCCTCCTCGGCCGCCTCCTCGGCCGCCGCCTCGGCCGCCCCGCGGGAGACAAGAGAGGAGCCCCCACAACCAGGTGTATTCTTTTTTTGCTTGGGCGGACCTGATGCCGGGGTAGGTAGGGTAGGTCTGGGCCCTCCCGTCGGGTTTTTCCCTCTCTTCAAGCTGGAATTTTAAAAAAGAAATTTTCCGCGGAAATCACGATGTCAACCCTCCCCAAATGGGTGATCTGATGCTTGTAGGGCTTGAGAGTGGCCTGCCATGTCACAAGAAGGACTGTGGTTGCAGGAGAGTACCACCAACCATCACTCTAGTTGGTATAGTACCCCACCTTCACCCTTCGAGTGATTTCTTTTTTAGTTTCCCATAAGTAAGTAAGGTAGGTAGGTAGGTAGGTAGGTAGGGGCACCGCAGGGGCCGGCCAGGTTTTTGCAGAATTTCAGAATGGTCCGGCAAAGCAAAAAAAGAATACACACCACTTCTTTCCATGGTATACACGGCGCGTGTTTGCGACAACCATGGTCCGCTGGGTGCACACCCACGTCTTCGAGGACAGCTTGCACCCCTCGTGGAGCGAGCGCGCCTCCTCTGGCGCCCACGCCAACCTGTCCGACTCGCGTGCAGCCGGCCGGCGAGCGCCTCGCGGCAGCGGCTCTGGCGGCCTGCGTTGTGCGCGAGTCCTGCGCACGAACCTCCCGGCGCATGGCTCGCTGCAGCTCCGCGCCGCCGGTCCGATGAGGCACGGCCCTATGGTCGTCTCCATGCGCGTGCACCTCCCAACCGCCGCCGGCTGCGCGGCGTGCTCACGTGCCGGCTGCCTCCAACGCCCAGGGTGGCGTTGTGGCGGCGACGCCTGCCTCTCGCTACGCCGCTCGGGCCAGCGCGAGCAGGCTGCACGCTTCGCCCCGCTGTGCGCTTTTGGCGACGTCGGCCACGGCTGGTCGCGCATCTCTGCTGGCGCCGGTGCCCGCTCTCCTCTGTCTCGGTGAGAGTAGCCGTCATTCTCCGCACAGCCGGAGCTCCTTCCCCGCAGGTCTCTTCGCCGGCGGCAGGGCCGGCGACGGCTTCGACGAGATCGTGCTCCTCGCCGGCGCCCGCCCCGTCATCCTCTCGCTCGACGACGTGATGCTGACCAGTTCCGCACCGCCGCCGCCGCTGCTGCCGTTCCCGCCGCCGCTGCCACCGCCCGCGGCGCCCGCCCGGGGCTGGTGCTCCTACCTCTCCTCGGAGCACGCGCGCGCGGGAGGTGCAGCGCTGCCGCTGTGTGCGATGGACGGGGACCACCTGCAAGGGCGCTGGCTGCGCAACTGCGATCCGGCAGCCATCCGGCGGCCCGAGAGGTATGCGTACGGCTCGCCGCTCCCGCGCACAAACGGTTCGTGGGACTACCGGCTGTGTTCGCGCATGGGCTACGCGCAGCGGGCGCGCACGCGCGAGGCGCTCGCTTGGAGCTGGGTGCCCGACCAGTGTGCGCTGCGGCAGGTAGACGGAGCCGAGTTTGGCGCATGGCTCGCGGGCCGGCGGCTGCTGTTCTGGGGCGACTCCCTCTCGGGCCAGGCCTTCTACTCGCTCCTCTTCTCGCTCGGCGCCGAGGTGGAGCGGGTGGCCGACTTGCCACCCGAGCCCGCCGCCCTCGACGCTTTCCTCGACGGCCGCACCGGCGGCCCTCTGTGCAGCTACGGCGGCGTCGGCGACGAGGGCGGCGCGCTGACGGCGGCGGCGTTGCGGTCGGGCGGCACACTTGTCAAGGTGCTGGGTCACGCGCCGATGGTGGACGAGCTGCGCCGGCCGCTCTCCGCGCCTTGGGCGTGGTGGGAGCCGCTGCTGCGCCGCGCCGACATCGTCGTGGCGAATGTGGGCCACCACTACCGCGCGCTCGACGGGCGCTACGCCCGCTACGGCGCGATGGTCCGCGCCGCTCTCGCACGTTTTGACGCACGCATGCCGCCGCACGCGCACCTCGTCTTCCGCACGTCCAACATCGGGCACTTGGGGTGCGAGCGCGCCGCCGCGCCGCTGCCCTCGCGGGCCGCTGCATGGAGCGCATTGGGTGGTTGGGAGTGGTCTGCGCCGCCCTTCCAGCCTGAGTACTTTGGCCAGGCTCGTGCGGGCGTGGCGGACGTGTACGATTGGCGCGCTCCGCCGTCGCACGAGTCGCTCTGGGCCACCCTCGCTGCCAGCGCGGCGGGTGGCGGCTTGCGAGGCCGCATCGCGCTGCTCAACGTCTCCCACCTCGATCTGCGCGCTGACGGCCACGTGGCGGATGCGATGGGGCTGCACGCCGACGCCAGCAAGGCGGCCAAGCCGCCCGATTGCCTCCACTATTGCTTGCCCGGCCCGGCGGACGCGTGGGCGCACGCAATCTACAACCTGCTCCTCAATAACCCGCGTTATAGACGGCGGAGGAGCCGCACGGAGCGACCGACCAGCGGGTCTTGCTCTCCTCCACGGCAATGCAACGGCTCTGGTTTATAGTACTTTCGGTGGATTGTTACGCCGCACTGTCACACCCTGGTAAATCGCAGAAGAGACTTTTCCTTGACCCCGGGTTTTTTGCCGTTGAGCGTTGTCTCACTTTGTGCACATTTTCCGTTTCACGTGTTGTCTTGTGTGTGGGGTGTGGAGCTCGGTTCGTTTTGTCGTTCTCCACGCGGTCTACATCGTCGGCCACTGTACACCGCACAACCGCACAAGAAAGAGAGCCACACCCCGCTAGGAGTAGGACACACTAAGTAACACTTCGCTCATGAGTCATGTGAGATGTGTCGTGATCGATTCGTGCGCTTGACTTCCTCAGATAGGGTGCCCACAGGACCCAAAAGAAAATAGCTTTCCGACTCAAAAAGGGACGCACGAGGCAAATCTGATGTTGGCCAGTTCCAATAGGAGCGAGGCCTCTTCCGTTGGGGGACCGAGTACATAGGAAACGAGGGTTTCCCATTGTGACCCGCTCCAGTGCGAGCGTGACACTGCACTTGGCGCCGAGCGCCCGCGGCACAGACCTTGTGCAAGCCGACCCTCGGTGCAAGCACCGGTCCGGACCGATGGCGCTCGGTGTGGAGCAAGCAAGACCCCCCCCCCCCCCCATCGGCGCGCGCTCGCCATTCCAACGGGCGCCAGGAGCACCAAGAGGACTCCTCATGGCTGCTTGCAAGTGGGCTTCGACCGGCCTCGGCTGGGGGGGCGGGTTGTCCCGGCTGCGGACGCGTTCTGCAGCCCCCTGGGCGTGGGTCAGCACCCCAAAACTGCCCCTCGGCGGCATACAGCACTGCCAGCCAGCCTCTTCCTCCTCCTCAAGGGCTGTACTATAGGCCATATTGCGCCGCCTCCTACTGGCAGCCGGGCGGGCGCGCGCCGCGGGCGCCTCGGCGCGCGCACGGCTCGCAAAGTTCGAACGAGTACTGCCGCCCGGCCGCCTCAAGGCTGCCGGGCGGCAGTACTCGCCTCGCAAGGCGCGCACCGGCTGCTCTGGCTGCTGCGCCGGCGGCCGCTGCGCTGGCCGCTGCTGCGCCGGCTGGCGGGCGGTACGGCCGCCGGCGGCCGCTGCACCCGCGCCTTCCCTCGCGGGCGCCGTCGCGCCGCGCGCGCCCAACTCTACTGGTACACGGCACGCGCGCGTCACTCAGCCGCGCGGAGAATAGGCGGTGCAGCGCGCGAAGCGCGCGCGATCTCGTACTTTTAAGGCTGGATCCGGCCATTCCAAGGGTATACCTTTGAGAATCCCCAGCGTCCCACCCTCCTAGTCACACTCTCAATTTCTCGACTGGCCAACACGAAGTGCTGCGATCGGGGGTAGCCCATTTCTTTTTTCCTTTCTTTTTTTGGGCCCTGTGGGCACCCTACCTCAGAGAGGAATGGTAGCCAGAGGTGTGTTCACTGAAGCGATGCCTGAGCCTGTGAATCCTCTGAGAATCCTCAGATTTTAGATTAGGACGCTGCGCACCCTTTACCACACAACACCCCCCACAGGTACGAATATGTGCACACACATGTGCATGTGTGGAGAGCGAGAGGGCTGAGCGTGTCCGCGAGCGCGTAGAGTAGTAGAGCGCGAGGAGAGCGCGCTCCCCCGCGTGCCGCTGAGTGTGTGGACAGCAGCGAGCGGGGCACGCGCAGGGGGCGGTGACGATGATCGCGTTGACGTAGTCGCGTCGTATAGAGAGCCGTTGAGGGGACCATGCGCTGAAGCGCGGGGCGGAGGGTCCCTCCCTCGTCCCCGCCTCCCGCTATGACCCCCCAGGCACACACCCACAGCAGCGTGACAGAGGCGTGTGCTTCGGAGAGCACCTACTCCTTCGCGTCCGCCGCAGGAGCCGCCTCCTTCGCGGGCGCCTCCTCCGGAGCAGCAGCGGCTGGGGCGGCGCCCGTCGCCTCCCCAGACATCCCGGCGGCCTTGTTGGCCTCCTTCGCCTTTTCAAACTCCTCCTTGAACTTCTGCGCGTTCTCGGAGTTGGCAAAGCGGATGGCGAGCGTCGAGTACTGCGTCTCAGTGGTGCCGTCGCGCCCCTCGGAGTAGTCGTGGCACTGCCAGACCCACGAGCGGTCCGAGCCCGCGTTCTCGGCGAGGCTTATTGTGGGCACCACGAAGAAGTTTGCGCAGATCTTCATCGTCTTCTCGCGACGCATGAGCAGGCGGACCTGCGTGCCGTGGTGGGCCGAGTCGTGGCGGGCCGAGGGCGTGGGGATCGGCGCCCGGCGCCGCTGCAGGGACGCCGGGCGGTCTGGCCGCGGGTGGGGACGCGAACGGGCGGCGGCGCGGGATCGCGAGCGGCGCGGCGCCTTCTTGGTCTCCTTGTGCTGGAGAAAGCGAACGTCACCCGTGCCCCGCTCCTTCCAGAGCTTCACCTCCTTCTCCCACGAGTCAGACTCCCACCGGAAGAGCTTCGCGCGCCTGGCCGGGGAGGGGCCGGCGCGGTCACGCGCCGCCCCGCGGGAACTGCGCGAAGCGGCTGCAGGGGCGCAAGGCGCACATCTTGAAGAGGACCTCCTCTTCGTCCTCCCCGGTGGTGGTCTTCACCTCATCCAGCTTGACCAGCGGCGTGAACTCCACGTTCGCCTCCTCCTCAGGCGCCGGCGCGTTGTCGTCCTCCTCGCCGCCGGCGGGCGCGGGCGCCGGCGCCTCTGCAGGAGCGGGCGCTGGTGCCTCTGCCTCCTGAGCGCAGGCGCGGGAGCGGCGCTGAGCAGAGCGCTCCAGCAGGCGCGGCGCGCGCGCTCCAGCGGCTGCAGTCGGCGAGGGGGGCGAGGTCGTGGGCACCTGCTTGGGCGGCTCCGGCTGCGGCGACGCCTCGGCCATTGCTGCGTGCGCGCCAGAGCGCCGCGATGACAAAAAAACGCGCTTACGCTCTGGTCGTGCCGACTGGGTGTGAGGTTACCGACTGCACTCCAAGTGCTCCAAGTGCCGCCACGCAGCACTCGGCATTTTTGAACGTGCGGGCGGCACGGCTGTCTGTTTACAGGCGCTGGTCGCCCACGCGCGCGCCGGACCTGCTCCGGGCACGTCCGGCGCTGGCGCGGCGCGCCTGTTCCACAGCCCCCATGCACCAGGTGCATGGATGCAGTAGTCATAACATGTATGTAGGCCTTCTCTCCCAATCCTTTGAGCACTAGCCGCAAACGACGCTTCTTGGCACTTCATCGCGACCACGTCCAGGTGCCGACAAAGCGGCTTCCCAGGGTCATGGGTGCAGTCATAATATGTAGGCCTTCTGCTTCTCTCTCAAAGTTTTGAGCAATAGCCGCAAACAACACTTTTTGGCAGGTCATCGCGACACGTACACAAGCCGACTCCCCAGCCTGTCAGCTCACCACCTCGCCTTCCCTGTCGCTCTCCTGGCCCAGTCCCATCAGCAGCAAGCCTGAGCTGTCCCAGACCGCACTTATCTTGGGCGATTAAGCTCACTCTGGCTCATACCACGGCTCTTACGGCCTCACACCCGTTTCACCCACAGACACCGCCGGCACGCACTCCCACTTCACACATGCTCAAACACAACCCCACCAAAGCACAGCCCTGATCAGAATGGGCAAGGGCTACCACTTGGTGACCCAGGTAGCTTCTGGCTCGCCACTTCACTCGGATCCTCTGCAGCGGTCTCGCGCTCTCGCCACGACAGCACGCCGACGGCAAGCTTTGAGGTCCGTCTGGTCGACCTGCTGCGGCCACAGCCGCCCCTCACATGATGCAGCTCGCACCATGGCTCGACACCGGACCCGCTCAGGTTGGTCGTGGCGGCGTGTGTGAAGGATGCGCGGCCGAGCCGCTGGCTGGCGCCGCTTGAACGTCCGAGATGGCCGTGCTCGGTGGTGACGGCGGCGCGGAGCAGCAACCTGCGCGCGGCAGGGCGCCGACAGGTATGCGAGGCGGCCGAGGACTGTCACGGGGCGGGTTTCCCGATGGGTGGCCGGGTGAGGGCCCGAGGGTTGCGGAAGGCGCGCGGCGGGGTCGGTGGGCTCGAAGCCGGCTTCGAGCCCGGCCCGACCGCCGCCACCGGGGGCCGCCGCGCCGTAGAGCGGCCCGCCGGTCTTCCTACCGGCGATGCACGCGGCCGCGCTTGGAGGCGCTGATTGCTCGGCCTCGCGGGGCTGGTTGACTCGCCCGCTGGGAGGGTGGTGCACGGGGTTTGCGGCGGGGCCCCCAACGTCCGAGGTGGTGGTGGTCTTGGTCTTAAGCCTTGGTCTCGGTCTCGGTCTCCATCGCTCTGAAGAGCATCTTCGCCTCACGGTCGAGGTCGCGGGCGCGGGCCCCGAGGGTTTGCGCTCGCTCCCTGTCCCGATGCATCTCAAGCGTCACCCGGAGGCGCTCGATCTCCGCCCGCGCCTTCGCGAGCTCGGTGTGGTCCGCCCGCCTCACGGGCCCGTGGGACGCGCCGTCGAAGTCGACGTAGCGATCTCCCGTGTCTGAAGGGACCTTCCCTTCTGCGTCTGCCTCCTCCTCTGCAGTCCGCTGCGGAGGGCTCGCCGAGCCGCGGCGTGGCACGCACCGGCGTCAGGAGTGGCTGGCTCTGCAGCCGCAACTGGTCTCGTTCAAGGGCACCCCTGTCGGGTACGCCGTACGTGTCGTCGCTTGGCGGTGGTACGGAGCGCCATTGCGCGCCGGGGTCTCGTGACCCGTGGCGGGGATCGTAGTCCGCGCCGGGGAGCCCCTCGATATCGTATGTCTCATGCATGCCCGCAGGAACGTGCGCCCCCGCGGTATGAATCTCGACGTGGCTCGCAGCGTTCGCGCTGCCATCATGGTCAGATGCTCCGCAGGACCATGTCTCCGGCGGGCCGTCCAGACCCGTGGTTGTGTAATTCGCCCCGACGTCTCCCGCCGGCGCGCTCCTCTGGGTTCCCAGCGGTTGGAAACCCACGGGCGATGCCGCAGCCCATGTCGCTGCATCACACCCCTGAGGGTAGCCACGCCCGAGCGTCCCCTCGGGGTGCGTCCGCCTCGAGCCAGTCCGGGTTGTTAGGCCCGAAGGTTGTGTAGTTCGCCTCGACGTCTCCCGTCGTTGCGCGTCTCTGGTTCCCAACGATTGGAAGCCCACGGGCGGTGCCGCAGTCCCTGTCGCTGTATCCCACTCCAGAGGGTGGTCACGCCCGAGCGTTGAACCTCCCAGAGCTCGTCCCGGTCTGTCACGGCCATCCTCGGCCTCCGGAGGGCCCCCGGCCGCGGCGCGGTGCGGCGGCGTCACAAATCCGACCACAGAGCACCGGGACGCGGTCGGGCGATTTGAGGCCCAACTAGGCGTATGCATTGCCCATCCAGTGCTATCACCTGGACCTATCAACAGGCGCCTGCGGCGCCGTGCTCAGGAGCTGTATGTATGTAGAAAGATGAACAACAGTCAGGCTCGGACTGGACACCAACGCGGTATGGGTGGACGCGGGACAGATGATGACGACACGCACGAGCGACACACAGACACAAACAAGCTCACAAGACACCCAGCCAGCTGGCTGCCACACACCCTGAGTTGGCGTACACATAACTCAAGGCCGCGCCCCCCCCCTGTCGCCTCCCCCAGCCAAGGTGCCGAAGGAACAAACAAGGGCACAACAACACAACAGACGACAGGGGCGAGCGCGTGAGGCTAGAGCAGGCTCGCTCGTCCTCTAGCAATCTCCGCCGACCGCGAGGCCGGACTAGACCGTGTGTGGGGTCGTGTGAGGTGTCTCTGGTCACTCTCCTCAGAGGCTAGCCGCCAGCCGCTAGCCCTATCTCGCACTCACTGGCGGTGACAATTCTATGGGTGAGCGTATGCGAGTAGAGGCGCGTGAGCCGATTCTAGATCGCATGCCATTGGCATATAACTTGGCTTGGCGTGCGACCTCAGCGCGCCCGCCGTCAGCTCGACGGGGCGCGCATGTCAGCGAGAGGTTTGCCGGTAGAACAAACCCAGTACAGTAGGACTATAGTAGTTATAGTCGCGATTCGGCGCGATTCGGCACAGTCTCTCGTTCCATCGTCCATGCTTGCTCTCGCGATGCTGGCAGGCAGCCAGCCGGCCGCCTCCTGCGATCGGCCGCTGAGAGCTTGCTACGATGCCATGGGCGGGCAAAGCTGGAAAAACGCGGCGGGGCGGTCGTGGCTCGACGCCAATATTCCGTGCTGCGAGAAGGCGTTTGTCACCTGTCACAAGGAAAAGGAGGAAATTCGCAAGATCGCGTGGCGGAGCATAGCGGGCCTGATGGGCACCATCCCGCCGCAGCTTGGTCTCCTCACGAGCCTCGAGGAGATCAACGTCGAGAGGACAGACCTCTCGGGGACGCTACCGGACGCCCTCTTCTCTGCGAGCTCCGAGATCGAAAAGGCGCCTCTCCCCCCTGCCCGTGCCTCCCCGCCGCCCAAGCGACATTGCTCAAGCCCTATGAGCGGTGGGACGGTGCCAGCTGACGAGCCTCAAAGTGACGCTCACAGCGAGCGCCCGCCTCTCCCTTCGCGCGCAGCTCAGGATCAAGCGGACCTCCATCACGGGCACCCTCCCTCCCTCCCTCTTCCTCTCCGGCACACTCGAGAAGGTCGTTGCCACCCTCGCCGCCGCCGCCATCTCCACCGCCATCTCCACCGCCCTCAACTCCTCGCCTCCGCCGCCATCACCCTCGCCACCTCCACCCTCGCCACCTCCACCCTCGCCACCGCGCCCTTAGGTCTCCGCAAAGAAGGCGGGCCTCTCGGGCACCATCCCACCCACGATCGGGATGGCGACGAAGCTTGAGGAGAGTCGCGCTGCCGCGCCGCGCCGCACCCTCCAGCAACCCACGCGCGGCCGCCACAACGACCCCTCGCCATCCCTTCCCTACATCACAGGAGATCGACCTCGAAGAGAGCGTCAACTGCGGCAAGATCAACAGCAAAGATTGGAGGAGGGAGAACTGCAAGGGCTTCTCGGGCACCATCCCGCCCGAGATAGGGATGGCAACAAAGCTGGAGGCGCCGGCCCTAGATCAGTAGCGGAGAGGCAGAGTGCTTCTCACCCGGGGAGGCGCTCAGCTGGAGGCTCTTGCTGCCGCTTTGCCGCACAGGAGATCAACACCGAAAAGAACGTCCTCTCGGGCACCCTGCCGGCCTCCCTCGCCCTTCTGAGCAAGCTCAAGGCGCGCGCCCCGCGAGGAGAGACACCGACGCAGAGGCGGCCACGGCGCCGGCCCCTCACCTCTCGTCTGCTCGCCGCCGCTCAGACGCTCTTCCTATTCACACCCTCTCTCACCTCTCGTCTGCTCGCCGCCGCTCAGACACTCAAGGTCGCCGACAGCCTCCTCTCCGGCACCATCCCGCGCGGCCTGCACGTCAGCAAGCGCGCGCGCCACACTGCCCTCCGTCCCCGCGGCCCCGGCGGTCGGGCGGTGCCCCCTCTTCCTCCACGCTCGGTGCTCTCTGTCGTGGTAGGGAGTGTGACTTGGTCGATGCAAACCCGCCGCCGGCCCCGCACCCGCCCGGCAAGGGGCGTCGGCTCGGCGAGGCTTGGCCGGGCGGCGCTGCGCCTCTAAACGCCGCCTCCAAGGGGGAGGATCAGCAGCAGGGCGGCGGCGAGCGGCGCAAGCTGCTCCAGGGCGTGCAACTTGCGCATTCGCCGCCCCACGCCGGCTGGGCCCCCGCGCCGCCGCTCTCGAAGTGGGGTGTGCGGGGCGAGGCGGGCGGCTTCCCCGGCCTGCTCGCGAAATGGGGCGGCTGGAACAAGGGGCCCGAGGGCGACAACCCGCGCGACCCGTGGGACCGCGGCAGGCTGTACGACGGGCGGCCGAAGGTGCTGTGGCCGCACTGGGTGCCGATAGCGGAGAGGTAGCAGCAGCCAGGAGTGGGCAACTCCAATTCCTCCCGACAGCCACTCGCCCCGCCCCGCGAGACGCGCGCAGCCGCCCCCTTACTGTGCAGGCGCCGGGCACGGATGGCAACCACTTTGACTGCCCACTCCCAAACGACTTGCCCGAAACGTGCCGCAGAAAGGCGGTGTGTGTGTGGGAGAAGAGGTTTCCCTATCCGCCGCACCCGCCGTATCCGCCGGCGCCGCCGCCCGATCCGCCATCGCCGCCGCCCTCACCGCCCAAGAAGCCGCCACCGCCACCGCAGCCGCCGCCGCCGCCGCCGTTGCAACCGTCGCCGCTGCCGCCGCCGCCCTCGTCGCCGCCGCCGCCTCTGCCACCGCCATCGCCACCGCCACCGCCATCGCCACCGCCATCGCCATCGCCGCCCTTTGACGTTTTCACGTTCTGGTTCATCGATCCACCAAACCCGCCGCCCTCGCCACCGCTGGCGCCATCGCCGTCGCCGCCATTGCCGTCATCGCCTTCGCCGACGAACCCGCCGCCGCCGCCCCCAAAGCCCCCCGAGGCGCCCGCGCCAGAGGGTGTGAACTCGGTGGTGCCCCTCCTCCTCGTCGCTGTGAGCTCCTTTGTGGGGGCGATGGCGCGCCCCCAGAAGCGGAAGACAGACTGTTTGCATACTGGCACTCGAGGGAGGACACGCATTCGGCGGTATTCGTTCGTAGCCCTCGTCTTCGCGTGAAGCTCCGAATCTCGCACTCACGCCCTAGCTGCGATGTACACTCACGCTGTAGGCGTATGTTGGCTACGGGGGAGGGACGATGTCCTTCCGCCGCATGGAGGACGAAGGCAAGTCAAGGCGCTTTTCAGAGCGCGAAATCAACAAGCTCGAGCGCGGGTTTGCCGGAGCCACAGCGGCCAGCGAGGCGTCACGCTCGCCACAATATATAGTAGTGCTCGAGTCGTGAGCAGCCTTGAATCTGACCCCTACCCACGCGACGCGCACCCACGCACCGCACACCGCCACCCACCACACACACCACCGTTGCCCCCCCCCCCCCCCC